AAGTGGTGGCCAAGAAGGAGACTTTCCGGTATTTAGGATCGATGCTACAAAAGGATGGCGACATTGATGAAGATGTTAGGCATAGAATTGCAGCCGGTTGGTTGAAATGGTGTCAAGCTTTGGGCGTTCTCTGTGATAAGAGGGTGCCACAAATGCTAAAAGGTAAGTTCTATAGGACGACAATTCGCCCGACGATGCTATACGGTGCTGAATGATGGCCTACAAAAAGGCAACATGTCCAACAACTAAGTGTAGCAGAGATGCGGATGTTGCGTTGGTTTTGCGTGCACACAAGAAGGGATAAAATTCGAAATGAGGATATTCGTGATAGGGTCGGGGTGGCTCCAATTGAGGAGAAATTGGTTCAACATCGGCTGAGGTGGTTCGGACATGTCCAACGGAGGTCTCCCGATGCACCGGTCCGTAGGAGAGTTCTACAGCGGGCCGATGTTGTTAAGAGAGGTAGAGGTCGACCTAAACTCACTTGGGAAGAGTCGGTTCAGAGAGACCTTAAAGATTGGAATATCTCCAAAGATTTAGCGGTGGATAGGAGTGCTTGGAGACTAGCGATCAATGTGCCGGAACTGTGACTTTTGCTCTTTTCTCTTTTGCTCCAATCTTTTTTTTTTTACCACTGTTTCTATTGGGTTTCATCTCTATCCTACCCCAACTTGTTTGGGACTAAAAGACTTTGTTGTTGTTGTTGTTGTTGTTGTTGCACCAGCTCATCATCGTCCTTTTCAAACTTTAGATATAACAATTAGTGAGACTCATACTCTCAGATTGTTGCCGCATCCTTCCTGGGCGAGACATGTGCAAGACATTCTTATCTCGTCTGATGCAAGTATGGCTAGATAAACGACTAGGATTACTTTATCTAGATCCTTCCAAGTTGTGTATAGATGTGTTAATTATCGATCATTGTTGCTCAGGAAAATCTAAGTAATACAACAATATTCTTCTAAAAGTCATAGCTACATTGTTTGTCGCATTTCTTTGTTATATTGTTCTTGATCCTAAGATCACAGGGATAGATCTTTTCTATTATGTCATCAAAGATGGTTAGCAAACTATACTCTGAGATTCCTCTTTTCTTTTTTTTAGTTCTTCTGGTCGACCATGGCCACTCCCACAGAATCCATATTGTTTAACCTTAAAGCCAACTCGTTAACATAACACTCACATACTCAAATTACCTTATATGGAGGCACTATGTTCTGGCAACAGCAAGAGGTCATTATCTTGAAGGTTATTTTCATGGTGACAAACAGAGCTCCAAAAGAAAGAATCACCAATCCAAACAATACCCCTCGAGAGAATCCATCGTATGGGTTATGGATCGAATATGACCAACTCCTAACATTTTGGTTGTTGTCATCTTCGACTGAATCCATCCTCATCACCACTGCAGGACTCACCACTTCAAGGGATATCTGGTTAGCCCTTGAGACTGCCTTCACCAGTGAAAATGCTAAGGTTATGCAGTATAAGCTTCAACTGCAAACTACCAAGAAAGGACGCTAACCTACGAAAGACTATTTGAACAACATCAAATCATGTTGTGACCGATTATCTGCAGTAGGACAAAGGTTGAGTGAAGAGGATCAAGTGTCACACATCATTGATAGCCTCGGATATGATTACAATCTTGCAGTAGTATCCATCTTTTCAAGATCAGAACCACCCAAGCTAAAAGAGGTGCACTAATTGCTGATAAGTTTTGGGAACATGTTGGAAATCGGTTGAAGACTTGAAGCGAGTCATAATGAAGAAAATGAACAATTTTAAGTGAATTATACAACACAAAACAAGAGAGAAGGATTCAATAATGTTTTATTTAATTAATTAATCATATCCTCCCTATATATAATTACAGAATGCGCTGAGCCTACGTGGCTGCTTCTGGTGCTTCGGAATCCTATTTGGCGAAGAATCATGCTTCGTAATTAGGTTTGGACAAATAATATTAATATATTAATTATTAATAATCTAGGTTTGAGTATTCCATAAATATTATTTAGCTAACTTAGGTATTTTAATATCACTTTTACTAATATAACCCTTTAATTATTTGTAATTTTACATAGTGAGACACTAAGTGACTAATA